CTTCCTTCCTTGCCCCTACTCTCCCATCCGGATAGGCAACAGGTTCTGGGCCCTTGACAGCGACGAGAGGGACTCCGATTCAGATCCTGGGCTCCCGTCCCCGGCCCCTCATTGGGATGTGGTCCCTGTGGTCGACGGGGCTGCGATGGCGCGTGCTAGGAAATTCGCGCCGGGGGGTCGGGGGCGGCCCGCCGCCGCCTCGATGGTGGATCCTGGGTGGTCTCGCATCTCCCGCCGCCGTTGGAAATCTGGTAAGTTCGCCTACCCTTCTCCTGCGCATGGGGTTCTAAGGCCGGCGTCGGTGTGCGCCTCGTCTCTGGGTGTGGGAGATCTAGTGTCCTTCCCCTCTCCGCGGGCGGCAGCGGCTTTGCCGGTGGAGGTTGCATCGCCAGGCTCGGTGGCTATGTCGTCGTCGTCTGCCCTTGATTTGGTCTCTATTCCGGGGACTGGTGGGCCCCTCGGATCTATTTGTGGGATGGTTGGGCCCCTCTTTTTCTTCTCTATCTCTTTTCCCCCTCTCCCTGGGCTGGGCACTGGGCCGTCTGCGGCCCCAAATCCGTCCCTCTTGCCCACCCAGGCCCCGCAATGCGGGCCTGGTGTGCTCCGGGTATATATGGGTGCGCAAGGGATCTCTCCCCCCGTTCCTAGAATTTCCTGCATCTCGCTCGGACGTGCAGCATCTCCGTTTCCTCATCCGCACCTTCTTCAGATCCAGCCCTCCTCCTCCTCCTCTCTCCCTCTCGTTTGCGGTGGTCCTCTTCATGGCTAAGTCGCGGGGCTTTTCCAACGAGGTGGTCTCCGACAACAAGCGCTACCACGAGGGCTCAGCGGAGGTGGCCTCAGATCCGGCGTCGGAGGTGTTACTACGGTCCAAGCTCGAGGCAGAGCAGGCGGCCCGCGTGGAGGCGGCTCGGGACCCTGAAGCCTGGGTTGCAGGGCTTTCGTGGCTTTAGTGGGATGAACAGGCCCGGGCATCGGCGGTGCAGGCGGTGGTCGATGGGCCGCGTCCCCGGATCTGGTGGCGGGGCGCCCGCGACCACTGATGGTGGGTGGTCGCCTGGTGTAGCGGATCCATGGGAGGTGGCTACAACTTCGCTCTCTTCAACCCCCGAACGCCTCCTCCTTGGGGACCGGTGGCCCCTCCGCGTCCGCCGGCTCACGCGTTGGTGGCGGGGTCGGGCTTTGCTGGTCTCCAGTCCCAGCGCGGTGGGTATGGCCCCCCACCCCAGTTGGCCAAAGCTCACCAGTTCTCCCCTTCAGATCCTTGTTCTTCTTTTGCGGGCCTAGGCGATAGCATTCTCCCTCCTACTCCTGCCCTCCCGCCCCGTCCAGCCTCCTCTACTCCCAGTCCCAACTCCACGGTCACCTGCTTCGCCTGTCGTCAACCCGACCATTTCCAATCCCGCTACTTCAACCCCCCCATTATGCCTCATTTGCAGGGCGGAGGGACACCTCGCCATTGACTGGCAATACTGGTACAAACCACCCTCCTTCGTTCATTACGGCCTTGTGCTCCCGGGCTGTTCCTTCTTCGCGCTTGATAGTGAGGTCCCGCTGGTAGTTGCGGCTCCCTTGCTTTCCAATGATGCGATTATCATATTTAAGGATCAGAGGATCTCTCCCCAGGTTCTGCTGGAGGAGCTCCAGGTGTGGGACATGGAAGATTAGGATTGGCAGGTGCGCTAGATGTCCGATGTTGAGTTTGTTGTTGATGAGGACATGACTACCTTGGATATGACCAAAAATATTGCATATATGCATATTTGTCAGGTGATTTCTAGTGCAAACTATTCAATAATCTATTTGTGTTATCCAGAACAAAAATACTTCACACACTTTTGTGTTTTGTCTAATTGCAGGTGTATGGGACATTTGTACAATCCACATATGAAGATAAGGAAGAAAGAGATGTTTATTTGCTGTCCAAAAAGTTCTCTCACGTCACTTTTGGCCCAAGAGAAGATAGAGTCCAAGTCTCTCACGTTCTGGATTCAGATTCGGACTGCACAGACATACCTGACTCAAAACGCACACAAGTTTTTCATACGGACTCCGAATTGGGTGATTCTTTTTTGTTGGAAACTAGATTTCGTGCACTTTCCAACCCATGTGGAATCACCTTCAAATTCGTCCGGAGCGTTGAGTTGTGGACGAAACAATCTGATGCTGCAGCAGAATCCGAGTCAAACTACAAGTCCAAAGGTGTTACATCACCTTCACTAGGGCCCATTGGCCTTGTACGACCTAGATTTAGTTTTAGGCTGCCTTGGGACGTCCTCCCACCTCCTTGGCCGCCACCCCTTGCTCCTATATAAGT